CCAGTTCAGTCCTGGTTCAATTGAAAATAAAATGAACAGATTTAAAAAATAAAATTAGAAATGCTCTCATTAAAAATTGGGTCTGAAAATTGAGGCATGATTAGGAAATTTGGAGTATCTTTCTAAGTAAAAATATCTAAGTAAAAATAATAGTGGTTGTAGTTTTTGCATACCTCTGGAATGTTTGGTTTCTGAGCACATTTTTAGGGGCATGCACGAAAGCAAGAGGTTCCAATAATAGAATGACAGTGAGAAACCTATTTCCTGTACCCTTTATTTGAACAAGAAGACTGACAGTCTTTCCCACCGTAATTACAGTCCTCAGGTGGTGGTACAATTTTCAGGGAGTCAATTGACTCATCTGTTCCTCAGATGTAAGCAGGATGTTGACGAGACTGTCTTAGCCAGCCATAGCACGAAGAATGCTAATTTTCATGGATGAATCTCCACCCTGAAGAGGATTTTGTGCTTGAATTCTTACCAATGGCTCTTATAAACTTGCCTTCTTAAAGTTATTTAATCAGATGGTTAATTAGACTGTGATATTATGGCCAAAGGGGGATGGGGAAGGACTGCAGAAGAATGTAGATGACAACTATTAGATCTGGCTGTAATTTTCAGATCTTGGTTAAATATCTCTATATGTTTCCACTAAAAATAAGTAAACATTTTGCTGGCAGAGTGGCTAAAGTGGTAGAGAGTGCCTGCCTAGCAAGTGTGGGGCCCAGAGTTCAAACCCCTGGACTGCTGGGGAAAAAAATTATTGAACATTTTATTTTGGAGATAATTTTAGATTTAGATTCAGTTGTAAGAAATATTACACAAAGATTCTATATTCTTTTCCTACTTTCTCTGGTAGTAAAGTCTTCTAAAATGCAGTACAATATCATAAATAAGATATTAACATTGATGCAGTCAAGATAACAACAGTTTATTGCCATAAACATCCCTCTCGTTGACCCTGTATAGCCACACCCAGTTCGCTTCACCCTCCCTCCGCATCCCATTACGAAACTGCTACTTAGGTCCTTCCGCTCTACTCCGACAGAAATCAGAAGTAGATGAGAAATAGCTCTTCTAGTGTTGGCGGACATGGGCCTTGAGTATCAAATACTTATGGACTGGGCTGACAGATTCAGAGAATTATAGCTCCAAGGCCTGACAACTAGAAGCTTATGGCTCCAGGCTTTAGAGACCAGATCACAGCTCTAGGTGTTGGAGGGTTTTTACTCTGGGCTTTGACTACCAGTGGCCAGGCTCTCGGTAGCTGCTGGGATCCTCAGCTCTTAGCAGCAGTCTGTGCCAGCTAGTGTTACAGCTTCCAAACCATAGGTTTGGGACCCACGGGTCCTAACAGCAGCTAGTGTCACAATTCTCAAGTTTCAGGTGTTGGGATCCTAGCCTCTTACAGTGACTAAGGTCACAGCTCTTGAGCCTAGGTTATTGGGACACCTGCAGTTTCCCTTTCTCACCTTCTCTATATTTCTGCTATCCCTCATCTCTGCTGCTCTGCTCCCCATTATTTATGTTCCCAGCTGCTCTCTGGAACTCTTCAGCCTCTCTCTTGTTGCTTCTTTTGTGACCGCTCTGCTGCTAGTTCTGCTGTTTCCTCTTTATGATACCAGCCCAGCCAGCTCTACCAAAAGCTGGCTATTATAAAGACCAAAAGCAGGCCGAAAAGACCACGCAAGAGAAACCTTTCCGTGAGCTTAACGTTGCAACATTAGGGGCAGCACGGGGGGTGTCTTGGACTGACTTAAAAAGTGAGCCTAACAGCCTGCTATACCCAGAAAGGGAGAGGGTGAGAAGGGTGTTTGTACAAATCACAGGACTTCTGTTAGGCCCCCTGGGGGATATACACCCCTGCTGGCTTGAGTAAAAATGGCTGCAAGAGTTCACCAAGGCTTATGATGGCAAAAAGTCCTGTGCAGGCTGTTTGCAAGTCATGGCTGGGACAGTGCCTCTGGAGCAGGAGTTGTGCTCCAGAAGGGAGTGATTGTGGTTGCATTGTAGCTTCCTCAAGGTGTCCATGGAGTGTTCCAAGGAGCCAGCCTGCCATGAATGCAATCTGACCTGCTGCCAACAAAGGGGTTCCTTGGCTAACAGTCAGTGCGCTAAGACTCAGGACACCTGGGCACCAAGGGAAGGGACTAACAACGATCAATTAGGGAGTCAAATTGCCAGACCTACAACATCTTAGCTTAATTAAAGGAAAGATAAACATTAAGAGAGATGCTTACAAACAAAGGTCTATCATATCATTAACATTAATGATGCATTAATGGTATTTAACAGTGCTCTACTCTTAACCTTGGAGAGAATTGGGTCATTTTATTTATCCTGTAACCTCCAACAACCACTGATCTGACTCCTACTTTATACTTTTGTCATGTCAAAAATGCTAGATCAGGCTGAGGATACAGTTCAGTGGTAGAGTATTTGCTTAGAATGCATGAGGCCCTGGGTTCAGTCCCTAGCACTGTAAAACTAATATGTTGGGTTCGGCTTTTTTTTTTTTTTAATTCAGAGTAATTCTCTGGAGATTCATTCAAATTGTCGTGCATGGGATACTACACCTAAGTAGTACTGCTAAGTAGTATTGCATGGGACGGATGTACCACGCTTGTTTAACCATGCACCTGTGGAAGGAATAGAGGTTGTTCCTAAGTTTTGGCTTTTATGAGTAAAGCTGCAATGAATACTCACGTTCAGATTTTTTTTAATGTGGAGATATAAGTTTGCATTTCTGTGTGATGAATTCCTGAGTGTGCAACTGCTGGTCATATGTTGCTTGTGTGGTGTTCAAAGAAAATGCCACTTGTTTTTCAGCGTGATTGTATCATTTTACATTTCCACCAGCAAGGTGTGGGTTGACCAGTTTTTCCACATCCTTGTTAGCATTTGGTGGCAATATTGTTATTTTTAGCACGTGTTATTTCAGCCAATCTGATGGGTATGTTGTGATGCCTCCTTGTAGCTTTAATTTACTTTTCCCTTATTGGTAATGGTGTTGGCGTATTTTCATGTTCCTCTTTGGTGAAATGTCTGATCATGTCTCTCGTTCATTTGGTTTTACCCTTTAAAATTGGATTGTTTTGTGACCATTGAGATTTGAGAGTTAGTTATCTATTCCAGATACCAGTCCTTTGTCTGATATGGTTTGCAAATATTTCTGCCAGTTTAGAGCTTGTCTTTGCATCCTCTTACCAAGGTTTTACATGTAACAAAGGTCTTTAATTTTGATAAGATCCAAAAGTCTTCCTCATACGGATTGTGCTCTTGATGTGAAGTCTAAGCACTCTTTACCCAGACCATGATTTCACACATTTTCTTTTCTTTTCCTAGTAATCTTATCTTTTAGTTTGTATATATGACAATTTTCAGTTACTTTATGTTTAGGGTGGGTATTTTAACTTCCAAGTCAATGTAGGTTTCTTTTTCCCTCTTCTTTCCATTTTTTTTTTTTTTTTTTTGCCTATGGCTGTCTAGTTGCACTAGCAATTTATAGAAAAAGTTTTGTTTTTGAGAGTGACCTTTACTGAAAAGGTGATATTCCACCACTGAGTTGCCTCTCCACCCCACCTCCATGTTTTTATATCCTTTACTGGACTCTAGAACTATGCAAGATGAAAGCCAATCGAATTGCTTTGACTTAATACCTCCGGGTGTTTAAGAACTAGCCTCTGATTTAATTACAATACAAACTTTTATTAAGCAAAACAAAAAATGACCTTCTAAAGCCTGTTCCCCTGACCCAGAGAAACACTGCTAGTGTTTTGGTATGTTTTCTTTGTCTTTTTTTAATGCATTTTTAATACAGTAGTGATTACAACATAAAGTGTTCTATCCTGTTTCCTCTCATAACATGGCATGAACGCTTTTCCCATGTCATTAGAAATTCTTTTTGGAAATTATTTCAAGAAGCTACTGATGTTAACCTATTGCTAGATAACACATGTATTATAGATCAAGTGTACTTCACAATAAAAGCATTACATATGCTATCTGTACTACTGTAGTTTTATATCATAACTACCTATGTCATATAGTAGATGTATGAATATTTTAGATGTGTATTATATATATATATACTACATTACATCTTTACTCTATTTATGGATACCATATTTCCTATACATAACAGCTACTTATATTGCCCTGAACATCAATAACACGTTGTATTAGGTATTGCAGAAATATTGTAATTTACTTTGTCACTCCTGATTGTTGAAAACTGAGTAGTTTCTAATTCTCATTATTATAAAACATACTTGTAACATTTTAGTATACATTCAGTGGGATCAGGCACATCTAACATACTGTATTCAGAGCTAAACTTCAAGGAAGAGTATACTCATTTTTTTAACCACCCCAAACAAGAAATTAATGTATGTTAGGTTACTGGGATGGAAGAGTAACAGGGGATTTATTAATCATTGCTGACAAGTTGCTGCAAACCTTAATTCCACACCATTTATCAGGTATTGATAGAATTGCAAGAGGCTTTTTAAATAAACTGTGCATGAATGACCGAAAGGTTTATGTAACTTTCTTTCTTTGTAGGGGTCTATGATACACAAGGGCTCTCTCATTTTAGACTGGCAGTGAGATCTCCAGAATATCACTAAGCCCATGATTTTCATATCTCACTGCATTTGAAATTACAGCATGTGTCATGAATAAACATTCATGTTATTTGTATTGATTTGAGATTTTTAGCTCTAAGACTTTTTCTGAAATATGCCTAGTGATAATTGTTACCAATATGAAGAAATATCCCTTGAAATACTTATTTTTTTTGATTCCAGTAATTGTCTGGTCATATAGTTTGGCCATTGTGGAAACAGTTTTGGTTTCTTAAATTTTATTTTCCCAAAGCAGTATTATATTTCTGGCTTGTGAATATTTTACAGGTGAAAACATCAAAAAGTAAATGTTTATATACAAGTGTCAGTAACTGGTCAGCGGAGATGCTGAGCTGTCTTTGTGTTTCCTTCCAGATTTATCAGCGATGCTGGTTAGTATTCAAGAAAGCTTCCAGCAAGGGTCCAAAAAGACTGGAGAAATTTTCTGACGAACGTGCTGCGTATTTTAGATGTTATCATAAGGTAAGACTCCATTACTGCAGCATTGAGAATCAATTTAGTCAGAGGTAGCTTGAACTCATTGTTTGTTTGTTTTTTGGCAGTATTGGGGTTTGAACTCAGGGCCTCCTTACCACTTGAGCCATGCCTCCAGACCTTTTTGCTTTTGTTTGTTTTTAGATAGGTTATTGTGCTTTTTGCCTGGGCTAACCTTGGACTGTGAGCCTCTTACCTGAGCCTCCCAAGTAGCTGGGATTATAGACATGTGCCATTGTGCCTGGCCCTGGACTGGTAGCTAACAGACAGTAGACACTGGTATAAATAAGTAAATAAGTAAATAAATATTATTAATAGGGAAAAGGATACATAATAGTTTTTTTTTTATATGACATCTTTTATTTAGTTTACCAACAGAAATCTGAGGCATATAAAAGTCAGGAAAGAAATTTTGATTTGAAGGGCAAACACAACAAGGGGATTGGACTTTGAGCACATGATAAAAGCGAGAGCACACAAGGGAGGGGTGAGGATAGCTAAGACACCTAAAAAATTAGTTAGCATTTGTTGCCCTTAACGCAGAGAAACTAAAGCAATACCTTAAAGCAACTGAGGCCAATAGGAAAAGGGGACCAGGAACTAGAGAAAAGGTTAGATCAAAAAGAATTAACCTAGAAGGTAACACCCACGCACAGGAAATCAATGTGAGTCAATGCCCTGTATAGCTATCCTTATCTCAACCAGCAAAAACCCTTGTTCCTTCCTATTATTGCTTATACTCTCTCTACAACAAAATTAGAAATAAGGGCAAAATAGTTTCTGCTGGGTATTGAGGGGGGGGAGCGGGAGGGAGCGGAGTGGGTGGTAAGGGAGGGGGTGGGGGCAGGGGGGAGAAATGACCCAAGCCTTGTATGCACATAGGAATAATAAAAAAAAAGTAATAAAATAAAAAAAAAAGAAATTTTGATTTGGAGGAAACAGGATGCAGAATCGTGCCAGCAAAAAAAACCCCAAAAAGCCAGAACTGAAAAGTTTTAGGGCAGATTCAAATGTAAAATCAAAATGTATTGAAAAATTCTGCCTTGAGTGTAAAAAGTACCGAAAGGTTGGGGACAAACTCACACTATTTCAGATTTCTACCTGCTGGCTTTGGAATTTAATATGCAAATCTTTGGGGAGCATGGTAAGCCATATTCTCTTTCATCTGTAATGATCATTTACCAAAGTTCAAAGCATTAGAGCTGAAGAATTATCTACATTAAGCCTCCAGCCCTTGATGAGTGGCCGAGTCTATTCATTCTGTTCATGCTCGTTCCTCTTTCAGATCTGATGTATTTAGTATTAATCTCTTGGGGGTATAGAAAAAGCTGGAGTCATTCTGAGATGTGCAGTTTTTATCTCAATGCTGTGCAATTCATGAATCTTGATAATAAAATACTGAGCTTATAAGCAGTGCACCGTGATCAGATTTCAGAGTTGATTCTAAGATAAATAAAGCAATTTCCAGAAGAGATGAGGAGATGGACATGGTGCCATTTAGACACAGATGGCATGGCATGAATGGACACACCTGTCTGGTAGGAAATCTGTAACATTTGTGAGAGCACATTTCAGTGTTCGAGATTTTGTCTTAAAAATGCCAGCTTTGCATGTTGAAATCTTTTTAGAAGTTTTAACATAAAAAAAAAAATTTAAATTGCTACATTCTTCCCTGAGAATGTGGCTAAAGGGAATGTCAGGCAAAAATTGGAAAATAAATACATGAATAATGCACAAGCAGAATGATCCATTTCTTTACCTCCTATGTGAAGTGTTCCTTCAAGCCCCCCCGAGCTGTCAGAGATGGCTATGAATTTGATTAGCTGTAATTGCAGCAGCATTAGGACTCCAGTGGCTTTAAATACAGTTCCCAACCTTCTTGTTGAACATGAACTCCCTCTTTTCTATCAGGAAGTAAAGTTGCTCACACTAACCAGAGGAATGGAGGGTTTCCTTACATAGCTTTACTTTGGGGATGGAAAATAATTGGGACAAAATCTAAGTAAAAGGAAGACTGGCTTCTGATTTTTGACCAAGAAAAATGTCGTGGTGGGAAGTACACAGACCTGGATTTGGGAAACTCGGTTGTAATCCTGGCTGCATCCCTGCATGTGCCTGTTGAGCTGCTTGTCTTAATGTACAGGTGATTTCTAAGGCATGTCACATCTTAGCTTCCTATATCAGGGGGACAATTCCAACAAGTTCTCTAGTACAGCATTTCCCAAAATGTATACTAAAGATGGTGGCAAAAGAGTTTTGTGATTAGCAAGGTTATATGGTCAAAGACATCCAGGAGCTGAAACACTGATGATCCCATCCTTGAGATCCATAGTCCACTGCACCTTATCACAGGCTCTGGAAAATTCTACACACAAAAATCTGAGGAATGTTGAGCTAGCATTTCCAAAATTGATTGGGTCTGGAATTTTTTTTCATTTTTTTTGAATAATGTGTTCCACAGAACAAATAAATGTAATTCTATGGACAACCATCTGGAATATGCTGTGTTTATGACTTCTTTAATTATTGAATTATTATTGCTGTTTCAACAGTAAACAACTAGGGATGGTTGTTCCAGCTTCGTTAAAATCCTGGGGTTAACCTGTATGTGAGGTAACATACTTTATGAATATATTTGGAAAGTGGAAGACCCTCTAACTACAGGGAATAATTGGCATAATTATTTTTGTCATTTTGCCAAACCCCTTTAGGCTTATTGGTTCTGTCATTCTGTCCTTTCCTTAGAGAATAATTCTTTCTTGTGTCTTTCAAAGTCAGTGCTAGACTTTGTTCTTGGTTTCTGGGAAAAAGAAAAAAAAAGTTTCTCTAGGTTCCTAGAGAAATTATTTCTCTGGAATTTCTGACAACCCATCTCTCTCTCTCTCATGTGTATGTGTATGTGTATCAGAACTTTTTCAGTACTAATGACTTCTTCCTTTTTTGCTTCGTTTTTTCTCCTCTAAAATATTTCCTCTTCTGATGTAGTTGTCTGCAATATGTGTTTTCACAATCTTAAAACATCCATAGCCTTTTCTTTAGATGCTCAAATGTCCACTTTGGAGTCATCCCCTACTTGTGTAAGAAACTACCCATCAAGTCATGGTCTGCAAGAGGACAAGATGCTTCATATTTCCATAAATTAAATTACAACTTTGCAATGATGCTTTCTCCATATGGTAAAGTGGTAAATGCTCCCATACTGATGATTCTAAGGCACAGGCAGAGTGAGTGGATAGAGGAGATTGACTGTGATACAGAAAACCTTCCTTTTCCCCATTTACATATTTTTCTTGGTCCAGAAGTACGAGGTCCAAAACCCTCCTGAAACGTTCAGAAGTAACGTTTTCCTGACTAAGCTTGGCTCCTTTCTACGGTTCCCTGTCTTGTTGTATGGCACTGAGATCCAGTCTGTTATATAAGGCAGAGGGCAAGGAGTCCCCTCTTCCTTATTTCCTCCCGTGTCCAGTCCAATGCCGGGTTTGCATGCACTCTTTCTCATGCATGGACGCTCTTCCTTTCTTGGTCCATGTGGCAACAATTTATCATCCTTCAAAATCTCCACTTTGTCTTCACTTTCCCTGTGACTTTTCTTTGCCACTCTGAGTTAGCTCATCTACCAGGACTGTTTTCGTGGATGCCCTGGTTACACTGGAAGCCATGATTTATTTTCATGATGAAGGCAGATCCTGCTGAGTTGGTACTAACCCAGTTGTCACATCCTTCTTCTGGAAATGTGTGTCTGAGTTTTAGGTGGACTCAAAGCTATCCAATGTAAAGACCCCTATGTGGTGAAGTGTGGTCATGTGACTGAATCCTGGCCTCGGGGGGATAAGCAGGGAAGATGCCATCCTCCTTCATTTCTTTCCTGCTGATTAGAAAATAGGTGACCGCCATCTTGGTCCAGGATACTGTAAAGTCCATGGATTCAGGATGGTGCATAAATGGGCTATGTCATGTAAAGAAAGCCTAGAGCTTGGTGTCCAGGCTGGTCTGTGCTCGTTGACACCATAGAACCAGGTCTATCTTGTACTACCTATCTCTAGATTTCTTTTATCAGATAGTAATAAACTTCAATCTTGTTTAAGCTTATATAATTTTGATTTTCTCTCATCTACAGCAGAACCTAATCCTAACTATTAGAGACAAAACAAGAGCTCCTCATCCTCCAAAGCACTCTAGGTGAGGAATTCTGTCAGTCAGGACAGAGACATAATTGCTCTCTGTTGGATTGTGAATTCTTTGAAGATAAGAACTGTGTTTATTCATCTTTCGTCCTAAGGTCCCAGTACAGTGTGTGGCACCAAAGTGGAAGCTTTGTACCTCAAGGACACTTGGGAAATGGTTTGTTCCCTCCTCACACTAATAGCACAAAGTGGAAACGTTAAGCAGACCTTTGGTATTTTGAGAATAAAAAGACTGTACATCATATGTGAAATTCTGTCATCTAAACTTGTGCAAGTTCTGTCTTACATGCACAGTATGGTCTAATAACAGACAACTTCATCGTATTTATATATCTGTTTACACTTCCATAATCCATGTAAAACATACACAAGGGGATTATAAAAATCAAATGATATCAAAGAGCTTATAGTGAAAAGTCCCTGGTTATTTCATCCTTCTCTTCCTGTTGTGGAATATATCTACTATTTTAGAATGTGTAAATTATAAATGAAACTGCCATCATACTGTATTTGTGATGAATCTGACCTCTTATTTTATTTCAGCTATTTATATTAGTTTACCTGTACACATACGCTGTGATGGAAAACATCACAAACACTTGAGCTGTCATAAGACTTTCATCAGTCACACATATTCTCCATGAAATACTATTTTAGTCAAGAACACCACTGAATCAGCCAAGGATGAATTTGTTCTCTGTGCCTCCTCTTATAGGAGTTGCCTACTTGTGATTCAAAAACTGTGTATATTTATATATCGGATGACAGGTTTCCAGGAGGACACACAGAAGAAAAACAGGGAGA